AATACAATTTAAAAAAAAAACAAACAACTAAATCTCGGACGAGTACAAGATCGAAAGGAAGACTGATAAGTTAGCTCTGGCGACATTATAGTTTGATGCTCCTGCTTTTTCTTACAGATTTAGGTGTCGTTTTGGTTCCATCAGGACTACAGACAACACAGGTGTCGGTACTAGAAATTAATCTTACATTAATACTATTTAATTTAAAAGATTAAAATCTTTCCTACACTCATGAATTTAAAATAATTATTTATGAAAAACGTTCAATTAGGAACTTATCCTTGTCGTGTGTGTATAGGAAGGGACGTTCTATATAATGTTTAAATTCGTTAAAATGCGTTACTTTTAAAAATAGTTTTTTAACAAAATGGATTACTCATATTTTTAGGCAAATTAAGAAAAGAAATATAATCTAAGACTTGGAAGCAAACTTAGAGTCCATTTCGTAATTCCACGTCTATTTGATCACGTTATCGGAATATGTCTGCTATAGTTACTCGTAGGTCTCAAAGCCTGTCTTTGATTTATATTTTGATCGTCAATAATGAGTATTTGCAGGGACCATTCATTGCTTTATTTGGAATCGATTCTTTGTTGTTATGCAAAATTCCCCAAAAGAAATACATGAAGATTAGAGTATTGTAAAATGGAGACACGTACAAGTAAGGTTGGAAAGATTCTCTGTGTGTGTGTGAGTGTGTGTGTGTGTTAGGGGGGGGGTCAGAGATCGAGGATCTTAACCGACGGAATAGGTACGTTAAAAATTGTTCTTACAGTTTTTCTTGTTTGGTTCACCTTTTCACTACATCTTATCAATTTTACAATCCCTCCTCCCGTTTAGGAAGAATATGCTATATCCATGAAATATACTACTCAAAGCCATACCTGATATGATTAAGAAGGGACCTTCATTGTCGGGACCGTCATTTAGAAAATCTGCTGAAATCCTTGACCTTCGTCATACAAAACATTTTGTTAGCAACGGGGAATAACTTATGAAAGTACCTATCATATACCTAAGGACAGATGATTCAAACAAATATTTTCTTTGGAGGAGACTTAATATTATGTCTCAAGTTTAGAAAAGTGGATAATTCTTAGAATGATTTCTCCAAAAAACTGGAAAATGAAATAGACTTGGAAAATTTTGGTAATATTTCAATAAAATTACAAATGTGGATAAAACACATTCAGTAAAGGTTTACTGATGAAAATAAATTTTAGAATATCTTATAATGGTGCTAAAAGTGTAATAAAATCTTTAGAAAAGTATATCAAGCCAGGTGAATTTGATCAGGAAAAGCCAAATAGTAAAAATAAGCGTATATTTTATTGATAATTTTTGTCATTTAGTTTATCTTCCTAAAAATCACCTGGCTTGGTATATTTTTCTTAGGTTTATATTGCACTTTTAGCACCAAGATAACATATTCTGAAATTTGTTTTCACCTGTAAACCTTTACTTAGTCTGATTTGTTTATTTTTATTTTTTCATTGAAATATTACCAATATTTTCCAAGTCTATTTCATTTTCCAGTTCTAAGGATAAAAAAATTCAAGAATTTTCCACTTTTCTAAACTTGTGACGTTTTTAAGTCTCTTCCAAACACAAAATTTGTTTGTATCATCTGTCCTTAAAGAAGAATTATTGCTTTAAAAAATAATATAATTTTACAGTTATTCCTTTGACAACATCTCAGTATGAATCGACATAGTATCTAATACTTTGAGTGTCTAGTACAGCAATCTCTGCTGCGATGCCAGAAAAATTAAAAGATATATCTTGACGTCAAATTCAAGGCGTTTTCTTCTCACGTCTATGCGTAAGTTTTGAGATAAATTTTGCTTTATATGATACGAAAATTTCTAATAAAAGGGCACGAATGCTATTTATGCGAATTTCGACATCATGGTAGAATACCTTGTCTCCAAAAATTACATAGATACTCAGGCAATGTTTTGATATACTATTTTAAAAAGCAGGGAATATTGGATTTAAAAGGACAGTGAAATGCAGATTATGAAGTCATGAAGGAAACAAATGACAAAAAAACAATAAGGAAACATTTGTCAATTTATTCGAGACCCTGGTACGGTAAGAAAAGGACAGAATTTACAGAATTAGGGTCGACACTAACACAGGGTCACACACCAAATTTACCACCATTGGGTATCATTTAGTGAGCTCATTGCTCACAGTACCTCTAGTTCACAGATTAAAATCGATTAAAAACAATGCTCTAGACGAACATAACCAGTTAGAAAATTATATTTCATATTTTCGATATGGAGGCACTGTTATTTTGTAGTTAACATTTTTGGAAGCGATATTCGATACTGATTTGTAAGTTGTAGTCTTCAGCCGAAGAAAAAGACTCTCCGAGGAGATTGTTGCTCTATTGGTTTATCCTCATAACGAAGGGAGAGAAGTAGCATTTGAACTTGAATCTTTGCAAAAGCAAGAAATCAAAATTTAAAAAAAATTATCATTGATTATTTTTTTCTTGGCAAAGATTTATTGCAATCAAATCAAAACTGTAGGTCGAGTAGGACGAGTAGCATCAAAGAAATATCATTTTTTTTAGTAAATATGGCAACAAGGTCTAGCGAAATAAAAAATACGATAAATCGAATTTTGTAACTTTGTCTAGTCTACTTGTATGTCAATTATTTTAATATCCAACTAAAACTTTGGGAGGAGTAGCATTTTGAAAAATATTTCTATTATATTGTTCACAGACAGACAGACAGCTAACTAGACAGACGGACGATGGGTACTTTACTATTGCATAAGCTCTTCGACTATCCGAGCAAAAAAAAAAATAAAGAGAGGAAGAAGCTAAACATTACAGTAAGTTTATTTTCAACTTAAGATGAAAAGAGAATTTATTGAAGGGACAAATAAATTGAATATTACTTGAAACATAACAATAATCAATTACAATTTGTCCATTTATTTGATATACACAATATCCATTGAAAACTGTAACAAATGAATTCAACATATTACATACCATGAGGTATCTATATACAGTTATATATAACAATTTCAAAACATTTCAACAAAAGTTGAAAAACACTGGATAATCTATTTATATGTCTGAATATACAATGACACTTCGGCGATTCGCTGTTATAAAAGATACTTAAGTCTGAGAATGCTCTAAAGTCTGAGAATTTTCTGAAATCCAAAATTCTCAGATCAGTGGCCGTCGTAAAATTGAGAAAAATAATGTCTTAATCTCTTTTATTCCCAAATTCTCAGCTGAGTAATTCTCAAGAGTTGAGTTGATAATTTTTTGAGAATTCTCAAAATTTTATGACGGCGGACCCTAGTTTCAATAACAAAACTTTGCAAAAGACTAAAAATAATGCTAAAAAATTGTTTATATACGTTACAGTAAAATGAATGATAAGCATCTTTGTAATTATTTTTATTATGTGACGTTAAAAAAAGCATTCACACAATTTTGCCTCAACTCTCATATGATACTGTAAACTCATTTTTGAACCAAAGAATTGACGTATTACAACAATAAAATAAAGTATTGAAGTATGGAATCAAATAATGCATCCTTATTTATATGAATGTCAAGGATGAACAGGTAAAATTTAATAATTTGTAAAGAATGGCAGTTTCAATTAAATGACATTTGTAACTAAAATTATTCCACCTTTGCAGAATGATTCAAAATGAGAGTGCAACTAAACATTTTAATTGCATGAGGAGTTGGACAATTTGCATGACTTACAACAACATATACTGACTGAGGACTGATAAAACAATCTCTTTCTGAGGCAATGGAAATCTTAATGCTTATAAATATTAACAAATACAAATTTCAAGACACCTTTAAAAGCGAGGGTAGGTAAAACATTGCATACAATGTCAGGACATATGCTCTTATTTTCATGATATTTCAATGTACACTATACGGAGATACTTTTTTCTAAACAAAAATCAACTCTCGTGTTCATTTGATTTACTCAGCACTATCTTCCTCTCAGCACTTTTTATGTATTCAAACAAATATTTGGTTTTTCTAAAGTTATTCAAATGTCAGCATGTCCTCTCTAGAACAGAAACACCCGCTATGTCTAACTCAAACATCAAAACTAAACCACCATCATTAAAACCTTGTCCAGAGTCCCGATTCTCTCTTTTACTAAATCGAACATTCGTAAGTACACCTAACACTTATATGCATACATGCAACGACTTCAAAAAAGTATCGCTTATCCTTAACTTACTTAACATTCGTCTTGTTTAACCTTGAACAGACAGACCATGTTAGAAAAACACAAAATCGTACTCGCTGAATCTTACCCTGACAATAACATCAACCCACACATCCAGGAGAATATCATCTCTTTAAAATCATACACCAAAAATTAAGTCCATCAATCATTCTAAACAAAGGATGTTACAGAGAAAATGCAAACCTTCAATCATCAATCGATTTTGCAAAGATAACAGTCTCAATTTTATTAAAACCGATTTCCACTGTATATATAATAATAATTACCATACATGAGTGCTAGCAGAATGCATTTAGGAACCCTTGTAAATGTTAAATAGCCCCAACCTGTAGCAGTTCCTTCAAATATTAAACCTCTATTAAATCTTTATAACATATCTCACCCTCATCTGCTGTTACCAGTGGAGTAAGTATCTGACAAACCTTACTGTTTGATATCAGTCTGCTCCTATAGAAGCTACTCATATCTCCACCCGGCATGATGCTGTCAGTGTGAAATGATACCCATTTAGTTCATCGAGACCTGTTCATATTCCTAGAAGCTCCTTCACTATACATATTTATATCATCCAAACTATGCTACTGTCTGTGGATTGATATCAGCTCCGACGTCTATAATCTCCTTCACTACACTCATATGTTTACTATTACATGCTGCTATCAAGTGGTGTATTATACTTTTTGCTGATTGATATCAGTCCCAGCTTCGAGTAGCTCTTTCACTACACTCGTAAGTCCACATCAAAATGTTGTTGTCAGTGGTGATTCTGACTTATCTTGCATATTGTTATTAGCTCCCGCTTCTATAAGTTCCTTCACTATACTCATATGTCCACCTTTACATGCTGCAGTCAGCGGTGTATCATACTTACCTTTTGGATTGATATCAGCTCCGGCTTCTATAAGCTCCTTCACTACACTCATATGTCCAGCTTCACACGCTGCTGTCAGTGGTGAATGAAACTTACCTTGCTGATTGATATCAGCTCCGGCTTCTATAAGCTCCTTCACTACACTCATATGTCCAGCTTCACACGCTGCTGTCAGTGGTGAATGAAACTTACCTTGCTGATTGATATCAGCTCCGGCTTCTATAAGCTCCTTCACTACACTCATATGTCCAGCTTCACACGCTGCTGTCAGTGGTGTATTTAACTCACCTTTTTGATTGATATCAGCTCCGGCTTCTATAAGCTCCTTCACTACACTCATATAACCACCCTTACATGCTGCAGTCAGCGGTGTATCATTCGTACCTTTAGGATTGATATCAGCTCCGGCTTCTATAAGCTCCTTCACTACACTCATACGTCCAGCTTCACATGCTGCTGTAAGTGGTCTATGAAACTCACCTTTTTCATTGATATCAGCTATGGATTCTATAAGCTCCTTCACTACACTCATATGTCCACCCTTAAATGCTGCTGTTAATGGTGTATAAAACATAACTTTAGGATTGATATCAGCTCCGGCTTCTATTAGCTTCTTCACTACACTCATATAACCACCCTTACATGCTGCTGTCAGTGGTGTATCATACTTATCTTTAGGATTGATATCAGCTCCGGCTTCTATAAGCTCCTTCACTACACTCATATGTCCAGCTTCACACGCTACTGTCAGTGGTGAATAAAACTTACCTTGCTGATTGATATCAGCTCCGGCTTCTATAAGCTTCTTCACTACACTCATATGTCCACCCCAACATGCTACTGTCAGTGGTGTATCAAACCCACCTTTTTGATTGACATCAGCTCCGGCTTCTATAAGCTCCTTCACTACACTCATATATCTACCCTGACATGCTGCAGTCAGCGGTGTATATAACTTACCTTTAGGATTGATATCAGCTCCGGCTTCTATAAGCTCCTTCACTACACTCATATAACCACCCTTACATGCTGCAGTCAGCGGTGTATCATACTTACCTTTAGGATTGATATCAGCTCTGACTTCTATAAGCTCTTTCACTACACTCATATGTCCTTTCCTACATGCTGCTGTCAGTGGTGTATCACGCTTACCTTGTAGATTGATATCAGCTCCGGCTTCTATAAGCTCCTTCACTACACTCGTGTGTCCACCCTGACATGCTGCAGTCAGTGGTGTATCAAACTCACCTCTTTGATTGATATCAGCTCCGGCTTCTATAAGCTCCTTCACTACACTCATGTGTCCACCCTTACATGCTGCAGTCAGCGGTGTATCATACTTACCTTTAGGATTGATATCAGCTCCGGCTTCTATAAGCTCCTTCACTACACTCATGTGTCCACCCTGACATGCTGCAGTCAGCGGTGTATCATTCGTACCTTTAGGATTGATATCAGCTCCGGCTTCTATAAGCTCCTTCACTACACTCATGTGTCCACCCTTACATGCTGCAGTCAGTGGTGTACCAAACTCACCTCTTTGATTGATATCAGCTCCGGCTTCTATAAGCTCCTTCACTACACTCATGTGTCCACCCTTACATGCTGCAGTCAGTGGTGTACCAAACTCACCTCTTTGATTGATATCAGCTCCGGCTTCTATAAGCTCCTTCACTACACTCATATGTCCACCCTGACATGCTGCAGTCAGCGGTGTATTTAACTCACCTCTTTGATTGATATCAGCTCCGGCTTCTATAAGCTCCTTTACTACACTCATGTGTCCACCCTGACATGCTGCTGTCAGTGGCGTATCAAACTCACCTTGTTGATTGATATCAGCTCCGGCTTCTATAAGCTCTATCACTACACTCAAATGTCCACCCTTACATGCTGCAGTCAGTGGTGTATCATACTTACCTTGTTGATTGATATCAGCTCCGGCTTCTATAAGCTCCTTTACTACACTCATGTGTCCACCCTGACATGCTGCTGTCAGTGGCGTATCTAACTCACCTTGTTGATTGAAATGAGACATGGCACCTATAAGCTTCTTCACTTCACTCATATGTCCACCTTTATATGCTGCAGTCAGTGGTGTATCATAATACAAACATTGGTTGTTTTTGTTTGTCGTTTTTATATGGACATACTTGATTAAAATTTTTACAGTCTCCAAATCACCACTGTAACAACTCAATACAAATAAGCGGTCATGTTCAAAAGCAGACCGTCTATTGCCCTGTCTTTTATTTGTTGTATTACAAATGGAGTTTGGTAAAGATAATTTGTATGTTGCAAATTTTTTTTCAATGTTATTTTCGCTTTTTTTTGCTTCATATATTAAACTGGAGCTACAGAAATTCCAAAATAGTTCAATCTTTGTTTCTTTGTGTAATTCAGTTTGTTTTAAAATATATTTTAGGATCTGATTGTGTCCGTAGTAAACCACCCAACTGATAACCCTCACACTGTATGTATTTTCTTTATAATAACCCTTCTCACACACCAACACACGCTGTCTACACCTCTCCCAGTACCTTTTTTCCGTCTTCTCACTCTCCTCACTCACACGCTCTTTTTTACTCACTACCTTGGACACGTCTTTCTGTTCGGACAGAAATAAAGACTTTAACTCTGTGTACGATTTTCTCTCTAACACCTCAATAAAAGCCTGACAAACACGGGGGTGTTTTAAAACATTATTCATAAAAACATCATACAGTTCCATATTTTCTATATCTCTGTACAAACGCTCTGCTAACATTGGATATTGATCCTCTCTTAACCGTATACAGAGTTCAAACGAGTCCTCGATTATATCACTACTTAATGTTCCCTGTTCTTCAACACTAAATTCTTCACTCTCATCGTGCTTATTGTCAACCTCTGATTCTTTTTTCCATTCTTGTACTTTCACTTTATTAGCAATGTAATTACTGCTTATATATTGTAAAAACAGTTCTGGAAACTGATGACCAAAATGATATGCAAGAATTTCAAACACAGAGTCATGAATAAATGTACACTCAGCACCACAGAGTTTCGTATATGTACCCTCCATAACTCCCATTGCTTCTTCAAATTTATATGCATCAGTGTCCTTTTCAATTTTACATTTTTCTAGTACTTTCGATTTCATTTCGCAGAAAACACCGTTTCCTGTGTTTTTCAATATTTCTTGTGAAAGTTTATTGCCATTTAACATGCACAAAACCAATGTAGCATAGTATAATCTATTTCGCCCTTGCATTTTATCAAATTCTCCTAAAATACATTCAGCTGGACAGGTAAAGAACCTTTCAACATTGTCTCTAAATTTCTCTTCTTTTGAATATAGTTTACACAACAGAGGAAACATACCCAATGTTCCTCCCAGCAATGCAGGGGTCAACAACTCTCTATCTATGCCGTGTTTCTGAAGGATCGCTTTCTTATCTTCTTCGTTCAATACATTTTCGGAACTATGCATCTTAATTGTGTTATTTTCATTTGAGAAAAATGATTTGTAACATTCATTAAAAACGGCTACCCTACATGACATTAATACCTTTGTATTTCTATTGGACGGATCTGAAATTCTTTTTTCATAGTCTATCAATGACTCTAACTTTTGTTTTTGCAGACCTAAAACACCTACCACATCATCAATGACAAAAACCTGTGGATGACGAGAGTCAGAATAATCTTCAATCTTCCTGATGTCTATAATAGGTACAACCTCGTATCCTTCCTTCTGGAGTATCAGGGCTATGTGATGAATCGTTGCTGATTTTCCTGTGCCTGGGACACCAACAAATGTCATGTAAGGTTGACTTCGGACTTGATCCAACATTGCAGGGAACCCGTGGCTTTCACTGTAAACCCCATCCTCCTCTTTCCATCGTATGAGATCTTTTTCAAAAACATCTAGAATGAATTGTTACATCGAGTTTACGTCATAAATGTTTCATCTTGTTAGTAAGGCCATCCTCAAAAAAATGTTTGTTTGGAATTGCGGCCTGAAAGGTTTCAAACACAAGAGGGAGGGAGGGAAATTATTTTTTTTTTAAATTGAAGGAAAATTTTGTTGAAGTTTTGATAAAAGTCTCAGTTAAGTAAATACATACTCTGAAAAGTATCTACCATAAACGAAAAAAAACTAATTTTACATAGATTTGACACTATATTTCAGTGTTTTGTTTGGTACATCTGATACATGTAATGGGCAAAACAATTGATTAAATAAAAAAAAAATCTTCCTACTTTTGGTCAATAAAATTTTTTCGGGAGGGTGCAATTTCAATGAGGAGGGAGGCAATCCCAAACAAACTATAATTTTACTTTGGCCTAATGTAATTACCAAGATTTCAGAGTAATTAATAAATAAGCAGATACCTAATAAAGTATGGTGTACATGCTTGTGGTTTTAAGAAAGATAAGTTTGCAGGATTGAATTTGAAGAATTTTTGCAATTAATGGTTTTTTGTAGAAATTTAAAAGTTTCTAGATTTGAAAATTAATTATGATTAAACCATAGATTACACTATAACCCAACTTTTTAAAACTTTCTAATTTTAATTGATAAAGCCGATTGACATATTGAGAACACATTTTCATTTACCCCCGCTTTCACCTAAATTATGTTTTAAAAAAAATCGATCTGAATTTTTATGTATTTTTTTTTTAATGTTAATTTATTGTGAATCCATTGCTGTATAATTCATAAAATGAATAAAATTATTGGGTTCCTGAAAGTACAATTCTGAAATCTGAAATGCATTTCTCGTTCAGTTTATAAGTGCTTTGTATTGAAACTTATAATAAGAAACAAGACTGTGCTGAACACCCCTACTAATGTGTTCGAAACCTTTTATTTTTCGGTGTTCTGCAAAGTATAAAACCCGATGAGTTCAGAGTAGCTCTGGCAGTGGCACTGGCGAGAGTGAGCGAGACTTCAGCGAGATAGGTTAAATTATTCACGGAAATGTGGCTAGGAAGTGTCTAGCACGTGGAGGCATGGTAAACAGAAAAGTTATGTTGCGTTTCAGTTTCCACCACCCTAGAATCAGCTGATAATGTCTATAGAAATGTACTTCAATCAAACTATCCATTTTACATTCATTCAAACTTAACTATATATAAGTATTCTCTATGATACAATTTTCTGCTGTCATGAATAAAAAATTCTTTTGGATAATATTTTTTGCATGGGAACCGGGACTATATTTTTTGGCGTCAGATTAGCAAATGAGGCACTACCGCCTGGAAGGTGGCGGGAGTTATCTTTCAATAAGTGAACACGAGTTATCTCGCATTACTGTGACGTATAATGAAACCATATTAATTCGTTCTTCATTTGGTTCATGCTTATGTAAATATGTAAAACGGAAAGAAACTCAGTGTGTGTGAGGGAGGGTTTGGGTGTTGGGGGGGGGGGGGTGGGGTCGACATAAAAATTTTAATTATATTCAATAAAAACAAAGGTGTTTTACAGACCATCCTCCAAAAAAATTAATTAAAAAAATTAGAAAGAAATTGACGTTAAGTACTATAAATAATTTATATTTATAAGTACATATTTGCCCTGCTTAGAGATCACATCCTGAATAAATTGGGAAGTAGCTGGATGAATGATAGATGTACATGTATATTGAAATGTTTCTTCCGACTATTATCAAATATAGGGCGTCATGAAAATGTGTCAATAAATGAGAACATTTCTCTAAGGCATGGCTTGGCAATGAACTTTTCTTGCATGCAACTGAAATAAAAAGAAAAAGACCTCAAGAATAAAAAAAAAGAAAGCATACGTATGAATGTGATCCTAAACATGATATAGGCCTCGGAAGCAAATTGAAAGGGGGGCTAATTGAAAGGGAGGGTAGGCTGAACCAACAAAAAAGGTAAAGTCCAATTTTCAATGCATGCCTATATTTTGTATATATTTGCAAAAAAGCTAAGCCTCCCCTCAACTCCCTGGTTCCGACGCCTATGCATGAAGAAAACAGACAGAAACGGATAGACAGGTGTGACATACAATAATGAATCACCCTAATTCTTACAGGTACTAACTTACCTGTATGAGTTATCAGAATATGAAGTTACCTGTAAAATCTTCCAGTTGGTTCATTTATTAAATATTATAAGCATCAGGTTATGAAGCTGCCTATGTAGTAGTAATATGAATCAGGATCTGATAATTTCTATCTCTACAACAGATACCGGCGTAAAAAGCCAACTACCTGTTACAGGGACTGCGTGTGTATATGTAAAAGGTATAATTCAGAAAGGAACCTTCTTACATCAATTAGGTACTGCTAAAGGGTATGGAATTGCACTTAAGCTACCCTAATCAAGTACCAGATATTTAACCATTCTTGATTCAATTAAATAAAACATTGTGCCTCGCAGATACATATACATGAATAAACCGAACCGATCTTTTACAGGTACTACATTTCAGCTCACCGACCTGTAACAGGTACCAGATATTCATGCAATTAAATTCTAGTACTTAAACCTTCTGCCTCTTACAGATTTCTGATAATAGCATACCGACTCGTAACAGGTACCAGATTTCAGCTCACCGACCTGTAAGAGGTACCAGATTATTACACGATCAAATGCTAGTACTTCACCTCCTGCCTCTTACAGATTTTTAATTATAGCATACCGACTTGTAACAGGTACCAGACTTCAGCTCAACGACCTGAAAGAGGTACCAGATTATTACACAATCAAATGTTTGTACTTAAAACCTCCTGCCTCTTACAGATGTCTGATTATAACATACCGACTTGTAACAGGTACCAGATTTCAGCTACCCGACCTGTAACAGGTACCAGATATTTACACAATAAAATTTTAGTACTTTAACCCTTCTAACTCTTACAGATGTCTAATTATAGCATACCGACTTGTAACAGGTACCAGATTTCAGCTCACCGACCTGGATGAGGTACCAGATTATAACACAATCAAATGCTAGTACTTTAACCCTTCTACGTTTTACAGATGTTTCATAATAGCATACCGACTTGTAAGAGGTACCAGATTTTAGGTCACCGACCTGTAAGAGGTACCAGACATTTACACAATAAAACTCTATTGCTTTAACCCTCCAAACTCTTAGTAATGTCTGATTATAGCATACCGACATATAACAGGTACCAGATTTTAGCTCACCGACCTGTAACAGGTACCAGATATTTACACAATAAAATTTTAATATTTTAACCCTTCTAACTCTTACAGATGTCTAATTATAGCATATTGACCTGTAAGAGGTACCAGATATATTAGCTCACCGACCTTTAACAGGTACCAGATCTCAGCTCACCGACCTGTAACAGGTACCAGATTATTACACAATTAAATGCTAGTACTTTAACCATCCTACCTCTTACAGATGTTTGATTATAGCATACTGAGTTGTAACAGGTACCAGATTTCAGCTCATCGACCTGTACGAGGTACCAGATTATTACACAATCAAATGCTAGTTTATTAACCCTTCTTACTCTTATAGATGTCTGATTATAACATACCGACCTGAAACAGGTACCAGGTATTAGTTCACCGACCTGTAACAGGTACCAGATATTTACACAATGAAACTCTAGAACTTTAACCCTCATACTTCTTACAGATGTCTTATTTTAACATACCGACCTGTAAGATGTACCAAATTTAAAGCTACCTACCTGTAACAGGTACCGTATTTAAGAAAGATATGGAGATAACGAAGAGTATTTAATATCAAAGTCTATAATACAATACAAAATAGGAGCAGAGCAAACACGGACCTCCAAAACATCAGAGGTGGGATCAGGTACCATGGAGGAGTGAGCATCCCCCGCTGACCGGTCACACCTGCTGTGTGCTCGCCGTCATTGTGACAGCAGGCTCGGTCGCTATCACTTTCCGTGTCTTCGGTCAATTTTAATTATCATGAGTCTTTATAACCACATATCGACCTACACTGAAGTCCATAATTGTACAGTATGCAAAACGTAAGTCAGCATTTGTCTCAATGATAAATTATATTTGCTGACAAGGCCAACAAGTACTAGCATTAGATTTTGCACAAATTCTACGTCATATGAATATAGAAAATAGGTCCGCTAATAACGGAGCGCAATTGGTACCCATTGGAATTCCAGTAGATTGTTGGAATACCTGGTCTCCAAAACTACATAGATATTGTCAATCAGAAACTCAAGCATCTCTTTGATGTCAACTTCAGAGTACTTGTGTGTGCAATCAGAATGTGTTTTAATAAAATATTTTTGCAATTGACCTATGACCAGGTAAGTATATTTACGAGTTCCATTTTTATTGAAAAAGCAGCTGTCAATGATATCAAAAAGCCTGGATTTAATTTATCGTGGGGAATGGTTGTGTATAAAGTTGAAAAGTCGTAAGATACTTACCTCGTACAGGTACCACATTATAAAGATGCATGTTTCTAACAGGCGCTAGGTCATGTTGTAGGTGTTGCCTTTGTCCTGAACCTTTAACAATACCATCTTCTTTTTTAGACCTAAGGAGCCAAATTTAGCCATATATTGGCTCAGAGAATCCCTAGGTATAGGAGATTCAAGTTTGTTGAAATGAAGGGGAGACAATTATGAATTGGCGAAAAATTAATCGCATAATTAAAGAGTTTTTTTTTTTAAGAACCAAGGGTCAGAAAATATGAAATCCATTTGGGATCATTATAAGATAGTCTAGAGTAGTCTAGTTTGTTCAAATCATGATCCCCATGGATAGGATGGGACCACAATGTAGGGAAAAAGTCACCTTCAAAAATATAGATAAATATTCTTACTGTAGATTTGATTTTGGTCAAATCATACTCCCCTTGCCTTTTCAGGGTAGTTAATGACCACTTATGCATTAAAGCTCTTCAATACCAAATGTATTTT